CATGTTTTACAACTGGTACTTTTCTCGCTACCACGTCCGATGTTTTGAACACAGAACTGGAGGCACTGTCAATAGATAGCTACTTCCTCGAGGAGCTTGAAAATGTAGTGCCTTTGACGACGCATGAGGATAGTGAATGACTGAATCCGGTTCACCTGGTGATCGGTGTTCATCAATTGTCTAGTAATTGCTAAAGCAGCCTTGCTTCTTGACCCACCTGGTGAAACCGCTGCATGTCCCTTCCGTTTCTGGAGCCAATTTGGAATGTGTTCATTGATTCGAACACCTAGATTTCCAGCAATGCACCCAAAGTTGTTGTCTTTGCAGCCACATATGAATTCGGATGATCAATGGGAGGTGCATTACTTCGACACTGGTGTATTCACTGAACACTTAGGCAGTGCTCTTGTGGACATAAGCAAGCGTTGCTCTGTTGCATGGTATGCCATTTCGTCGAAGCACTTATTCGTTTCGCGGTGACTTCATAAGGTTCTCACCCGATTTCTTGTGAACCGTTATCTATCGATGAGGTTTCACTGTGTCACTGAAACACTTTATGAACTGTAATAGACAACCACTAGATTGTAGCACCTGAAACACATAAAAGAAGCAAACCTAGTTGAAATGACTCAATAAAGAGCATCGTGCACGAGGCACGCTAGCATTTCGATGGAAATTGCATGGGAAATTAGAAGGATTTAAAATTACAACAGAGTGTCGTGAATATTCGCAACTAGGTGTGGTTACGCTACAGAATACGTGGCTCCACGAAGACATTGAAGATGCAGTTATGGAGCTCGATGGATTTGATTCTTATCGCGTCGACCGTCTGTGTGCATGCAAGAACCGCGGTGGCCCTAAGTGTCATCGAGATCATTTTCTCAAGGTGCACATCTAGGAAAGGCTTTTTCACTACACTTCCTAGCTGGATAATCATGTAATGAAGCCGAGATACTTTAACGGATAGCGTTCAATTTTTATTGAACAGCATATCATTTTTTTAGCTGTTCATGATCTGAAGCAGAATTTTACCGCAAGTTTCCGGATGCTGTCCTTGGAAACCTGTACCCTTCCCTATGTATTTTGCTAGCGATTTGAACAAATTCCTCGGCACCATTGCAAAACTCGGAGTGAGAAAATGGCGTAATCTCTAACTAAGGCATGGATGGTTCTACACTTGGCATTTGTCAACAAACTGCGTGCAATCCAGCACCACTTGGATGCATTGCCCTTATCACAAGAATGTTGACTCCCGCTATGTAGTACAAGGCGCATCTGTTACAAACGGCGCCATTCCAGTTAAAGACAATTTTTCCTTCGGTGAATTAGGAGCCGGGGAAAATATGGCCACCACAAAGGTTCGTTAATTTTACGAAAAGGACGCACTGAAGTGATATTACCAGGTAAGTGGTTACCAACTATTTTCCATACCTACCGAGCAGTAAAAACGTATTTTAGTTATGACAACAAGTTCTCTTCGCAACGCCTCGAAGACAAGACTCTCAAATGTAAAGACCTTAATCCAGTAATGTCACCGCTAAATGATGCCGAAGTGAAGTAATCTGCTTTAACCACATGTACAAATTAGAATTACTGAAACGTAATACCTAGCTGGAAATACGGTGGATGTTGAAACAGCTAGGCGGACTAGTCCGTGACCTCACGAAGTTAGCGTTGGATGGGGAAGAGTTAAACTACCACTCGAGTGACCAGAACACTATCCAATCTCCGACTTATCGTCTTACCAGTTACACCAGCACTCAGCGAATTCAGCGTCCGTAGATAGCCTAATAGTGCGCGAATTGGCGCGCTGACAATTGAGTAACTTAAGTTGACCAAATTAATTGTCTGCTGCCGTCCTCAAGGAGCGTGCTGATTCCATAATGCCTACCTTCACTGATTTCTACACGTGCGAAAAGCAGTGATACATGGTTATGTGTTGGCGGAGTCTTATCGACAGTCTGGGCCGAATAATGGAACAGGCATTTGTGAGTAGCAGGGGGTTTAATGTGTAACTGAGGTGATTAGTTGCAGGTAGACTCAGTCAAACAACCAGCATACATCCAGTGAACCGCTAGACGGCCACCTCGTTCCATTGCGACTCCTCAGTAGCGCACACCCGCTGGATCCTCTAGGATTCCAACCTAGCAACATACTCTTACAAATCAGTGAATTATGCCGCTGAGACATAAGTGACGGCGGGAGACTGCCATAATTGACTTTAGACTACGATTTAGCGTGAACAAACTTCCCTGTCATTCATTTTATGAACGTGCAGAGGACGTGGCTGGCCTTCAGAGCTACAGGCAAATATTGGCCAAGATATAGCACCTCCTGTTTCACCGGTATATATGTTTTGGTGACGTTAACGTACAGCGAGTGCAATGGTTCGATTAATTTACGGCCCCTCCATTGCAGTTGACGAACTTGGAGCATCATTTCGATCGCAATGCGGTGCACAAACTAGTCACACTGCGGTTTAGCCAGTCTGATTTCCGGAAGTGAGTGACGCAGTAATTCGGCCGAATACCGAAATTACTTTCCAGACGCCACTTAGAAACGATATCAAGCTAACTTTTAGCACATTAGTTGTTTCTATTCCCCTTGCCCTGCGGTACCGCCTGACGCATTTCACTTCAACTCCTTTTAATTGAATTGTGTTCCACTAAGCAGTGCAGTACATGTATAATTAGGGCCCCATGTACTTAGTACTTCTGGTAATTTTCCGTCGGTCCCGACACACTTACAGTTTTATAGTTGAACAAGTGCCTTCTAGGTTTCATATGTCCACGGGTGTCGACAAAACCATCCATTATGTCACGGAACAACGGTACAACGAATAAATTGCGGATATAAAACAAACACTTCACAGTTTTCTGTAGGAAAGAAGTGTTGACACAGTTCGCGTGACGTATACCAGTCAATTTTCGAACGTTTGTTCAGGGGACATTCTAAGTGATTGCGCCGTTTTTACGTAATGTTGCTGACTGTGCAGATAGCTCCCGAATAGTTTTCAACGATGTTTTCATCGGCTGCGTGGTAGGTTCATATACTAACTTCAAGGAACCATAAAACACATGCTAGTGGCTTTCGGAGCAGCATCCGTTCGCCAGCGTCATCTCCGCCCCCCCTAGGCATTTGAAACGAAGAAACTCTCGAGTCAGCTGCCGAATGTTTTCGTTAAACTTACCTTTCTCCTCCAAGTCGCTTAGTCCTTCTCATGTGCAGCAAAAGCTGCGTTCTTCTCAGGTACCAATTTACGAAAAATCGCACTGTTGTTATCAAATAAATCCGACCGATTGCAATGTGCTCATTCAATGGTTTCTCAAGCGCAGCAGTCACCTGTCCGCTTAGGTAATATCATAGGTCACTGTCGGGCTATCGATATTTATGCTATTGTTATCCTCTATGTACAATGATTAGGTCTAAACAAGATGCGAATAAGGATATTGTACAATTTTTCGTCGTTTCACTTGGAAACGTCTTCTTCCCTATGCTAGGTAACGTGCTGTCTTCACATAGACCTGGTAAGTGCGTACTATCAGTCATTTCAGAATATGCTTCAGTTTAATCCGTCCACATGTGTGTGGATTCACATTCGTCATCAGCCAAAGAGCACATGCAAGCTTGGAGACCACGCGATGAATGCTGTCACCTAACAGCGCGACCATGGGGTGCTAAACTAGATTGACCTCGGTTGCACAAAATAACCTGTCAGTCTGTCGAAGACCGGGAACCAACACATCGGTCTTCTGCGGTGAGCATACAAGTCGTTTGAAGCATATTTCTGCCCACAGATGCTTAATACACGCGTGCAGCCTCCTATAGAATAGGTACGCCATCCAGGTCTGCCTGCGTTAGCAGAAGCAAGTTCTGCCGCACTAGAGACTCCACAACGAAGACTCATCAAGCATATCAGAAGATTATTACACCTTCCAAATCAACTTAGGCTGAGGGGCCTAAAATTGTACAGCGGCCAGCATTAGTGCTTATGGGGCAATTTACTAATGATTTATCATGTTTTGGGGAATCTTAACCACGTTAGCTTTACTTGCTGCAACTTAGTCACACCGCAAAACTGAACGTACACCAGACGCGTTTGACCACTCACTATAGCCGGCTGGAATGCCACCAGAACTACATCTCGCTTCTTGTATATGCCATGGAACATTGTAGCTAACTATGTCGCTTCCAGCCTACATTATCCATATTCGTGAACGGTTTGACGTCGCCCTAACACACCCACATTACAATCTATAGCTAGTGTATATCGGGAGACAAAAAGACCTAATAGCTAGTGAACCCACCCACATTCTCCTGCACAATCGAAGTAGGTTCATTTGCCAATGCTACAGTGTCATAATGGTGAATTCACTAAGAGATTTCCCCTTAACACCTTAGTGTCTTTTCTATTTTGTGTCTCCCAAACTTGCGATCAAAAGGCATCTAGTAATTGCTTATTTTTTATCTGTAGTATCTCATTTTTCCATTATACCTGGCCTGAACACAAACTGTTTAAAGCTAAATTGTCCAGCCCGAAGGATAATCGCAGTTAAAGTTACAAGTATTCTCACTACTTACCAAGTAAAAATGTTCCTAGGATAGCAGACAGTTAGTCACTAGCGGTAAATGAAGGTGGCATGATTGTTACAATATGTGGACTAAGAAGGTCATTTCGAATTACCGCTTTCGTGAATATATTGCCCAAGGCAACCTCAATGAGGATCACCACTCGCTTCCAAGTGAATCTGGTGTTTTATCAACATGACCGCGTCTGAAGCATCTGAACTAAGTTCGATTTGTTTCATTGCAGCTAGATTCAACGCGACAATTTTCCTTACAATACACCATTATTTCCTTATCATTAACTACATTGTCACAAGTGTCCGAAACGCAATTTGTTGCCAGTCGATAACTATGTGACTAGTTTCTTTAAATCCTGTAAATTCCAGCCACGGAAAACAGTTTGATCAACCCACTAGGCCCAGTCGGAAATATAACCTATCTGTACTTAGAACACAATGAACCAAAGGACCGGTCGATGCATTTGAACTGCACAATGCATGACCAGTCGGAGTATGACAGCGCCGACGGGCAATCTCGCTGCTTACAGAAAAATGAGTACATAGTTCCGAAATGGCCAAAAATAGAGTTAACATCGGCTTTCAAGGAGGATATAAGAAAAGCCTTCATGATGTTTGATGAGAACGGGGAAGGAACAGTTACTGTGGATGCAGTCAAGGTGAGCCGGTTAAATTTACAGGTAGTTCATCTGATCTCAGGAATTAAGGTTAACCAGTAGAAGAAACTTTTGCAACTGTGACCATTTATGAATTTATGGCTAATATTTTCCACGAGGTACAATCAGAAGCAATAGTTTAGGTTGAAAGCACCGGTTTGCATAGAGTTTCAGGAAATTCACACCTGCTACATAGGAGACGACGGTAATTGGATTAGATCTTAATGTGGTGACCGTAGAAACGTTGAGAGCTACCCCAATAAGATTGCTCAACGGCCAGAGTTCATATAGTCCAGTCTTACAATCCCAAAATTGACGTTTGCAAATCAGAAATAGTGATTTATACAAATTCATTAGTCTTAAGGACAACTACCTAATTCGCACCATCTTCTGGCTAGACCTTTGCTTCAGCTGCTCGCATAATTTCTCGCAGTACATACACATATGTACCTAATCACTGCTGTACGTTAGCAACTGCTCCCTGTTTCTGCGATTCTAATCATTATATATTTATATATCATGATCACAATCTGTATACATAAATTGTACCATCAAATCATGGCTGTATAGGAAAAAGTATAAGAGTACAAAATACTGGCGACTTATATCTGTTCAGTTGCTCACTCACAACTTTTCAACTTTTGACAAAATTCTATTAGGAGGGAATGGAATTACCGCAGCAATAAGGGATACACGACAGCCACTGACTGCGGTTTTAAGCAGGGAATTTCAGAGTCCCCATCCAGTTTCACCCACCTATCCCGGACACCATTAAGCAAGTCCAGAAGAGCCAACCGAGACAAACGACATGTCATCCTTTTAATCCTGTTTCTGTAAGCAGTAGATTGATGGAGGATATGCGGGTGTTCTCCGAGCTCGCTGATTTAGCTGCAAATGTTTCATCATCAGGCTAGACGACATCATCAGCGCGATTTATGCGGGTCACTTACAGATCCAAGTGATAATTGACCACTTAATTCGAACGTCAGAAGTCAAGTGGTCCACGTGAGCTGACTGTGTAGTCAGCTCTTGCGTACTGTTGGCTAGAGTCCACCCCAATAACGTTCCTTTGTCCTGTTGATCTGGGGCGGAGTATTGTTTTGACCCTCAGTGCTTCATAAGCAGTATCTAGATCTAAGTGTCTGTTGATTGTGTTCTTCCCCGAGTACCAAGTCTCGATGAACTCGCGTGCTTTTCGACTTTTGCCCTGCCTATGATCCTGACATTCTCCAAATCAAATTGATGATTCTCGGCGTCCATATTTACCGACAACAGGGAGTTCTGGTCATGTCGGCGGGTGACTAGGCTATGCTCATATAGTCTAGTGCAGAGTTTTCTTCCTGTCTGACCCACACAGTACTTGTTATAATTTTTGCAGTAGGTTTTGTAAATCAAACCGTTTGTTTTTTTGTCAAGCCGGTCCTTACTATTGAAGAGCTTGTCTCTGATCGTTTCTGTCGGCTTGTGAGCAACTCTGATTCCGGGAGGTAGTAGCAGTCTCGCCGCCATCTCAGAGACGCAGTCGATGTATGGTAGAGTGATCGCGCTTTTATCCGTTTCTGATGTTTGTTCATGCGTCGGTCGTATTATTGGTGTTAAACAACGTAGAATGAAATTTCTATGATACCCATTCCGTGTAAACATTTCGAACAGATGATGTTCCTCCGCTTTCGTCAGCTGCGGGGTGCTGCGATGTGTCTTTGCTCTTTTAAATAGAGTTGTTACACAGCTGCGCTTGTAGACTATTGGATGATTGCTTCGATAATTCTGGATTTATGTGAGGTCCATCGCAGCCAGTTTCCAAATCAGATAGTCGTCCACTTGCCCGGAAAAGCACTAGACTGCAGTTTCAGCCTGTTGGGCATCGTCAGTAGTGCGCATCCATCGGATCCCTCATGAGTACATCAAATTATATCCGCCCTGACAGTTTCTAAATGCTATGTCGTACATAGCTACTGTTAGTGGACGTCGTGCCTTTCGAGGCCAACCCTGTCCTCTGCAACGTTCGTAACTTGCATGGCAGTGGAGGATAAGACGCGCTATATCGCAGTTTGCTTGCAAATCATGACGGTCCGAAGCTGTCCCCCGTGGCCCAGTGGCATAAGCTGCTGACTGGCGGTTCAAGCCGCTGGTGGTCATGGGTTCGAATCCTAAGGGATCCGATGGATGCGCTCTACTGACGATGCCCAACAGGCTGAAACTGCAGTCTAGTGCTTTTCCGGGCATGTGGACGACTATCTGATTTGGAAACTGGCTGCGATGGACCTCACATAATTACATCAAAATCCCCTACTCATGAGTACATCAAATTCTGGATTTGGTCTGTATGCGTTGCTTTCCGATAAACTGTTGTCTTCAGTTGTTCAGCAGCATGTCTTTTTACCAAAACATCCAAGAATGATAGCTGACAATTTCTCTCTTCTTCTTTAGTTAAACGGATACCAGCAAACATGTTGTTTGTTAGTTGATGTGTTGCTTCCACTTTCGAGCGCTTTAGGATGACAAAAGTAGCGTCCAGGTATCGTAGCCAGAGTTTAGGTTTTGCGACCAGGAGTGCGATTTCTTCCAATGCTTGCATCACCGCTTCGGCCACTAGTCCAGATATCGGTGAACTCATTGGCGTGCCTGTTATTTGTTCGTAGGTTTAGCCGTTGAAACTGAAGCGTGTCGTGAGGCATAAATCCAACAACTCCGTCATCTGGATGGCATCTATTTTATTGTCCGTGTCTGAGGATCCGCGTTGGTCTAGTAGTGTCGCCATCGTTTGCTTCGCCAGATTGGTGTTAACTGAAGTGAACAAAGCTGTTACATCAAAGGAAACCATGATTTCGTCCTCTTCCATTACGGTTTTCCTGAGCTTAGCCAGGAATTGTTCTGCAGATTGTATGGAATGTTCCGAGCCAGAGATCAGGTGCTTCAATCTCTTCCAGAGTTCCTTGGAAAGTTTGTAATTCGGAACCCCAGGTAACGACAAGATTGGGCGGAGGGGGACTCCACTTTTGTGAAGTTTTGGCAGGTTGTAGAATCGCGGTAACACCGAATTCTCTGGTTTCATTTTGCTGTGTTCTAATTTTGTAATCCCTCTCATTTGTTCCAGATGTTGTCTGGTGTGTTTGATTGCGCTTTCCAATCGTTTTGTGGGATCTTCGTTGACTGGTTGGTAGGTGTTCGTACCTTTGAGAAGTTCTTGCGTTTTCTTCGTATAAGCAGCTTTGTCTATTACAACGGTAGGACGTCCTTTATCAACCGGTAAGATAATAATATCTTTAGCTTTCCTAAGGTTTTTCAACGCTTTTTGTTCAATTGTGTTGAACAAGTTGGTTTCACTCTTGTGCCTCAGTGCTGGAATGATGCTGTGCCCGATCGTGGTGGATTCACTGATATGCCCATCATTTGGGAAATCTGTTAGTCAACTGGCAAATCGCGTTGCATGCCATCCTTGACTCATTGATGCGACGGTGTTATGCCCGTTTCTTGCAACGACTTTCCTAGTCGGAACGAACTGCACAGTTCAGGCGAATTATACCTTCGAAACCCTCTCTCTCATAGGCGCAAGTCAAGCGCTCACAGCATACGCAGCCGGCCTAATAGAAAAAAAGGGAATACCAGTCTTCAGCAGAGCACCTGCATGATTCATCAAAAGGGAATACACGCTTACACAGCTCTGAATATATAGGGCAGAGTGAGATAAGACGCCCACTGAGGGTAAGAAGCCCACCCACATAAGTTTCCATTGCGATCCACATCCCACTTCAGATCGTAGCCACAACAGATTCGTATTCGCCTCACCTGCTTCATACCTACTGAAGCTGGCGGTATATGTTAACTTTGTACGTAGTGCAAACTACACAGTCATGTCTGAGTAAGCGAAGTGCACCGTAAAATGTGGCTTCGAACGAATGTGCGTCTGTGCGAAAGCTAATTGTCGGAATAAGTAGGAATCGGCTTGTGCGATCTTGTGGACACATACATGCCAGTAACAAATGAATCGATTGCAACAGTTGCGACTAGCGATGTCAAATATGCACTTCTGAATGGTAACTGATTAGAATATCAGGTGTACGGCGTCACAACAACATCGGTGCAAACAGCCCGTCTACTCAGGATCCCGAAATCAGTTGTAGTGACATACGTTGAAGTTTATTTATTTATTTATTCAGGTGTAAATGACAATCAATTTGTCGTAAAACAGACATCTCCATAAACTAATTCCGCCTTCTGGAAATATTTTGAGCAGTATTTGTGCTTTGCAACAAGTACTCATGCGGGAGCAGCACCACCGCCACCAGTACAACCTTCCTACTCAACCGCACAGCAACAGTTTAGCTGTTACTTCGCTGCCGTCCAACGGAAACGACGTAAGGAATCCGGGATAAAAGGAAAGAGGAAAGCCAGACCTAGTGGAAAACTTAAACTATATAAGCTACTGTTCAAATTAAAGCTACTACACCTTGTTAACAACATGCTTACAAACAGCTGGATGTCATGAGAAGATAAGGCTACGTCGGAAATTTAACTCTTACGTCATAATCATTCATTACATTGCAACTAAATCAACATTATACCTAATATGAAAAGGTAATCCGACTAAGAGAGGATGCAAATGGGTCACTGGTGCTGGCTGCGAGCCACGTCCTGTAATGTCTTGAAATAAACGAAAGGTGGTTTACATGGACTCAAGTTCAGAAGGCTTGAATGGTCAACAGCACACAATTTCAGCGTCAGTGACTTCACTTGTAGCTTCCAAATGAACTTTGGCCCAGGTCGGATCTTAGACTATAATGTATTGACTAAACAAATCGGAAACTTGCTAAGTAGGCCATGAGCGGGCTTACCTAACACCTGTCCAAGTCAGTTAGGTAGTAATTTGGATCAGCCGACATGTTAGTACGTGGACGACTTGTATTCTGTTTGAAACCCTAAAGATCAAGTCCGGGACGATATTTTTAGTTGATTCAATCAGATAAGTTATACGTTGTGTTGGTTCAACCACTTAGCCGCTAGCGTGCACTTATTCCGTAGCTACAGTTCAACCCCGATGACTTTAAGTCTATTCTTATTATCGGCCGCATTGACACCAGCCATAACAAGATATACGTACTTCTTAAGGTAAAGGCTAATTGAGTCAGCAAACCAAGATTAAGGTTTTGTGAGTTCCTTTATCTCTTCAGTACGACGGTATCTTTTCCGTCCATTGTTCAACGAAGAACCCAAAACTTGGAATGTAGTTGCTGTGACGTAAGAAGTCTCATGGTCGAGTGCACGGTTTCAGAAAAGCTAAGACATTCACATTACAGTAATGTAAGGATATTATTTTTCATTATCAAAGAATGTTTGTCATGGACAGATTGGTTAAGGTAGCAGGCTCGAGCCTGCTCGGTCAAGACGATCAATCAGTACTCTCATTCCTTAGATGACTACTGGTGATCGCGTGCAAACAAAGCGTCTGGCTCTGGTGACGGCGTGGGTCAAAATGTCCGATTACTAAGCAACTAGGAATGAACAAAATTACCACAAAGCAGGTAACCTCGTCACCTCAGTACCACAAATTTTATGGTTCGTCTCTTGGAAGGGCTACTGTTGAAGATGGGGATACGTTGGTCATTTGTGACTATTGATGTGGTTTGTTTTCCATCATGAAAGTAGCTAATGAAGTAATCAAATTAGCAGTTCCATTTGACCACACCAGAGACCCAAATGTTTAAGAATTAAGTGACGCTTTAGTCAAATACGCACTTACGTTCCATGCACCCTCAAATGATGAGTTTCAAAAAAGCGATCATTCAAGATAACTATTCCGTAGGAAACATGGTTGAAACTTGGTGCATGGTGCAAGATTTCCTAATTTCGTAACTTGTATGCTCCAATAACGTTACGGTTATAGAGAGATTTAAAGAAATGCAATCTTTAGCGTCGGCCTGATAAAAAGTAAATGTTTTCCACGTGCGTCCTAACATGGTTATTGTCGGTTATTCTCCCTGCCATAGGTGGCATTTCGTGCTCTCGGCTATAATACGAAGGCCAGCGAATTCAATCAATTGCGTCAGCAACTCAAGGACGTGGGTGGTCGTGTGGATTTTGGCGAATTTCTAAACCTGCTTACGGATCGCATGCTGGCTCTGGATGACGATGTAGACATAGCGAAATCCTTCGAACTCATGGACACTGGGAACAAAGGATACATTAATTTGGAAGACTTGCGTAAGGCAGCGGAAACTTTGGAATTATCTGAGGTGTATGATGACGACTTTGCTGCCATGCTATTGGGTGCCCAGATCAGTAATCTAGCAGCGGAGCTGCAAAAGTCATTTGAAGAACATCAGAAGCAGGCCCGAATACGCAACGGGTTATCGTACGGGGTGGGCGTTAGTGGCGCGGAGGCTGTAGTTGCAAGTGCCTCCCCGGGCGACGTAGCGGTACTGTCTGGAGTCGCAGGCTACAAGCGGACTCGGCGACTATCCTCAAGTGGACAGCCAAACCCCGAAAGTCTGACAGTGAATCTGGAGCAGTTTACACATTTGATGAAGATTACCAGGCCACCCGTGGAAGATATCAGGTTGCTATGAGTAAATGACAGTCTCTGACGTTCATGAAAACGTTAATTACGCGAAGCAAACACTACAATAGATTGGAAAGAGGAAAGAGGTGACATAAAGTATATATCTTACAAGAAGCAGCAAGCGGTTATTTTTTCATGTTCTATATCTTAAACTAACATAAGGCGTGAAAATATCTAGAGCCAGGACCCGAAGTGCAAATTGAAAGTGATTTGCAGGTAGGGTCAAAAGATGGATGTTAGCGAGATGCTTGCAATTATTTCTGACAGAATTAAATAGTGGCACCAATGAAATGACGAGTTAACTCTCCAGCGAGTATGCAGCGGTCCGACGATTGACCCGTTCACTTGAGGTATGGTAGTGCAATATTCCGAAAATATTGAGTTACACCGTGTACCCAGGGAATCTTAGGGGTCTGTTTGTGTTAGCCTGCATGCACTTGTTTGCATAGCTCAGCACACAATCGTGTCATCCTCGACTCGAATCTAGCTCGCATTTACTGCGTAGCTGCATATCCTATTAGGATGCCATAGCTAGCATGGTATGTCGGTGTCGTCCTAGTCTTAGTTAAGCACCATGTACATTACGTCGCGAGTGACCAGCTAAAGCTAACAGAGCTGGAGCATCTACCTAACTATACGCAAGTATCGTTCCAACTAATTAAAGAAACAGGCATTGAGGTGACGAGGTGAAGGTGTATGGTTAGTGTACCACAGTCCCGTGTATAGGCTAAAATGAATATATATATGTATATATATATATGTATATATATACATGCATATATATTATAGTTACTTACACTCTGTGGTACAGCTAATGTGCCATCGGAATCATGGCGGAATATGAAAACAAGTACAGAATAAGAAAGGTACATAACCGGCAACACTTTCCATGCAATTTTCCACGCACATTTTTAACTTTTTGTCACTTTGTTTTATTAAGGGAGCGAAAGAGAATCACCGCAACTCGCAGAGATACACGTCCACCACTGATGTCGTACTTGGGCCATAACTTCTATTGTCTCCAATCAGCGACACTCCGTATCGCTGGGACCATAACCAGAGAGTCGGGAACAAATGACCGAGGCCAACTGCTTCAACAGCTTTTCATGCTACTACTCCAAGTCCTAGGCTGTCCACCACGCCACTTCCTCCAGCTCTGCCCAGCAACCACGAACAACACATGATGCGGAAGGCGCTGAGCGGGCATGCACAATATATGATCAAGCCAACGCAATTGGCGCAGCGATACATTCTCCTCCAGCGAGTGGCTGTCTCCCTCCCCCCCCCCCCAGGCGCTGTTTAACTTTCTCACTGCTTAGGTGGCGCAGCCACCACACACGGGTAATGCATCATAAGCAACAGGGCTTGAAGGCATAGAGAGGGCGCAGGTTAACAGTTTGAACAGGCCACGTCTCGCAACCGTACAACAGTACATCGTGGACAGTCGTGCAATAAACCCGCCCTTTGATGTATAGACGGATGTCATGGCAGCGACACAAGTGCTCAGTCTGGAGAAAGCGAGACGACCTCTTGTGTTACGCATGGAAATCTCGTCTCCAATATCTCCACCGGCTGTGATGTAGCTTCCCAGGTGGGCAAAACTCTTAGTAACTTCCAGTGTCTCACCATCAAGAGTGAGTGCAGGTACAGGCAACTGAGTCTGAGACTGAGACTGTATTTAAGAGCAAGTAGAAAGGTTTCTGTACAACTCTATCGAATTACGAAAAATCAAAATTTACTTGTGAATTATCAGCAGTTGTGTCTGGTCCGTTAATCGTTTATCCGTGTTCGGTTAGAAATTTGTACTAGCGTCATTATTTCCAAACATACAATGTCTTCTTTTGGCACTGTATGTGCATCGTTTCACAAAAGCACAGGTTTCCAAAATAGTCGTCGATACGGGTTTTAAAACACTTCACAGAATCGGCCTCTATTAATCCTTCAGGTAGTGTATTCCATAAGTTTCGTTCGATACAAAGCTGATGTGATACTTTGTTCATGCTGGGGACCCTGCGTTTGTAACGATGTCCTCGGGTGTTACATGGTTCTCGCAGGTGAAATATTGGCCGCAATATGGGAAAGTGGCTCAAGTGTAGTACTCGATGGGTCATAATAAGATCAATTCTTACTCGGCGATAGGATAGTGTGTAGAGTCCGAGCCTTTCACAACGTTTTTCATACGGAAGCTTTCGTAGACTTGGTATCATTCTAGTTGCGATATGCTGTATTTTCTCCAGTTTTTCAGTTTCCCATTGAGTTATCGGATGGTAAGCTGGGGCACCGTATTCAAGGATTGGTCTAATGAGCGAGGTGAATAGACGAGGGACGGTTTCTTCGGACCATGTGGAGAAACTATGTCTTAATGCCCAGAGCATACGAAGTCCCGCACGGTACAATTTCCCTGTATTTTCTAGTGATCTTAAATCATGTCGTGAGAGAACTCCTAAGTCTCTGACAGATGTGTTGGGATGGAGCAACTGGCCGTCCAAGGTGTATGATCGAATGGCTGGACGTCTGGTGATACTGATGAACTCCGACTTGCTTGCGTTAAGAGGGAGTTGCATTTCAGTGGACCACGTTGACAGTCGCTCTAAGTCATGCTGGAGGCGAGCGCAGTCGTCCTGGTTTTCAATGATCCTCCAGATTTTCAAATTATCTGCATACAGGACACATGTTGACTGGAGCTGCTGCGGAAGATCCTTGATATGAATAAGAAATAATACTGGTCCAAGTACAGTTCCTTGAGGCACCCCACTGGTCGATGGGAACCATTCTGTCAGATAGTCATTGACCTGTACTCTAAACCTTCGTCCCACAATAAACCTTTGTATCCACTGAAGTAACGTGCCACCGATTCCGTATGTCCTCTGTTTACGAAGGAGTACCTCTTGGTTTACTCTGTCAAACGCCTTACTAAAGTCGATGTATACCACGTCAACATACTACTGTTCATTGAAAGCTCGAACCCACTGGTGGTTTAAGTACATCAAGTTGGTGATGCAGGATCGCCCTTTCGTAAAGCCGTGTTGCGCTGGCATCAATACGTCCATCGATTCGAAGAACGACAGCAGATGCTTTTTCACAACCTTCTCGAGAACTTTGGATAATACCGAAGTCAAACAGATCGGTCTATAGTTCTCTATTTTACTCGGATCACCACCCTTGGGAAGCGGTTTAACTATCGAGCATTTCCAGTCGTTCGGGACGGATCCTTCAGAAAGCGATCTATTGAAAAGGTTTGTCACAGCTGGTGAGATGATAATCGATAGGGACTTGAGTATTAGTGGGTGAAGTCCGTCTGATCCGGGGGCTTTGCACCATCGAGGTTGACGAGTAGCTGATACACTTCGACTGCAACACATTGTAGGCTGTCGAGCAAGACTTGCGCAACCTGTGCCGGTACTGGAACAGCCGCCGATTTACTGGAAAATACAGTGAGGAAGTGCGTAGCCAGGGCGTCCGCGCGCTCCGCGCTTGCAATGAGTGTCTTCCCGTCTAAGCTCTCTAAGACAGGTAGGTCGTCCCCAGGTTTCAGTGGACGTTTCAAGTAGGAAAACATTCGATTGGGTGCAGTTGTGTCCGAGGATGCTAACTCCTCTTCGAACTGCAGGCCTTTCTTGATCTTTGCGGCGTTACATAAGTTAGGCGGTTTCATGTACACCGTGTAATCTTCATCACAACCCGAGCTGATGTATCTATCCCAAAGTTTACGACGTCGTCGCGCTAACTGTCTGTATTCCCTATCAAACCAATGCGGTTTGACAGGTCCGATTTTTGGATACTTAAGGGGAACGAACCGGGTACAGAGCGAGTTAAGCTTCCCTTTTATTAATGACCACCAGGCCTCAAGTGACGCATCATGTGGTAGTGTCCAATCAGTCTGACTTGCGGCTTGGACGAGTCCGTTGAAGTCCGTCTTCCAATAGTTGAATATCGGCTTCTGTTTATTGTAATATGGTAACGACAGTTCTAAGCTTGCTACAATAGAGCAGTGGTCACTGTTCGCCAGATGTTCTATGACTCTGATCTCTTTTAGCTTCTGCTCGCAGCTCGTAAACATTAGGTCCAGACAAGATGCCGAGTACGGAGTTACGCGCGTCGGTTAGTTGCGTTGCCCCGATTTCAATAGTCATTTTAGCGAATTGAGCCTCAACGTTGCCATGACCGGGAAGAAGTCGAACATCTGGCCAAATCATCTTAGGTAAATTTAGATCCCCATCAGTAAGAACTGAGGGCGACTCATGTGCTTCTGTACATGTGGTATCCAATCGCAGCAACGGAAAAGAGCTTTTCGCTTGGATGGGGAACATATATATATATATATATATATATATATATATATATATATATACAGTCTGTTAACAGACATTGTACCATCAGAACCATGGCAGAAGAAAAAAGTGAAGAAGATGGGAATACTAATGCGATTAAAAAATATGGGAAACGATTTTTTTGGTTTTACACACGCCATTTTGTATTTTTGTTTTGTTTTGTGAGTTTTTGTGTGCATCAAAGGGATGGTGAAATTGCAGAACAACATTGCCGACACTGATGTCTGTTGCGGGCCATGACGTCCAGTGTTTCCAACCACTGCAATTCAGCATCTCGTGGTCCCCAACCTGGAAGGCGGACTGGTCCGACTGCCGCCAAACTTGAGGTCGCCTTCTTCATACTCCTTCTCCAAATCATCGGCTGTCCACCGCGGCACTTTTTCCAATCGCTCCCTGGGAGTGCAAATAGCGCTCGACGTGGAAGGCGATGGGCTGGCATGCGCAGAACGTGTCCGAGCCAACGCATGCGATGTCGGAGAATAACGTCTTGAATACTGGCACTATACGCCCCAAGCATGCGGTCTCGTACCTCTGCGTTGGTTACGTGGTGTTGCTACCACACCCGAGCAATCCTTCGTAGACAGCGATTGTCGAAGACTGACAGCCGCTTCATATCTTGCGTGCGAATAGGCCAAATCTCACAGCTGTACAAGAGTACTGCAAGGACGGAAGCATTGTACACCCTGCCCTTGAGCTTGAGACTAACATCACGACGACGCCATAGGTGTCTCAGTTTGATGAATGCAAGGTGGGCCTTTGCAATCCGTTGTGAGACTTCATCTCCAACACCGCCA